GTTTGGCGGGTCCGGGCTGGGGATTCGAACCTGCCACCTTAGGTGTACGTGGCTGGCGCCTTAGCCGGTTGAGCTATAGGCGCCGAGCCAGCCTCCTAACTTTCAAGTGGACTCCAACCAGGTGAAGTTTCGGAGGTGGAGAAAATCCGGGGACTTAAACTTGACCCTAAAGACCAGTTCAGCCACATACCCGCAAGCGTTTCCTCACAGCTTCTTACAGACAACCTCTGTGCTGGAGGGGGGAGATGTAGCAGTGAGCAAAGCAAGGCCCTCCAATTTGGGCGCCCTTCTGGGTGTTCCTCACCAGGTAAGGGGCCTTCGGTGGACTATAATGTCAATGCTCCCGGTCCTCCTGTCTAAACTTTCAAGGTCAGCTCCGGAATTCGTCCAGCTGGGCTGGAAAGCACAGCTCTGTCTTAAGTGTGGTTCCCACTCTTTCCACGGAAATGGGTCTTTTGGAGAATTTACGTTCATAGCTGTGGAAAGGGTTGAGGGGAGATGCGGCTCAGACGGGCGGGGCTACATTCAGCTGGGCTAGGAGAGGGGCCCACCACCTAGACAGGAGGCTTCCAACCAGGTTCTGCCCCACCGGCGGGATCCTATCTTTTCTTTTCTCCCTACATCCTCTCCCGCTGCCGCCGCTTCGCCCTAACGGGACACTCAGGGCCAGGCCGAAAGGTGTGGGCAAGGTCCATTGTGATTGGGGACCTGGGGATAAACTGAGAGGCCATTCAACTGGACTCTGCAAAGTCTTCACTTGTACAAAGATGCTCTCTCTTTTTCTCTCTCCCTTGTCCCCCCTTCCTCCCACTCACCTTTCACAGTTAGCTTGGCCGACAGGGATGGGAATGACCGCCGCGCTTGCGTTTTTCCTCCGCGCCTTCTCTCGCGTCCTTGCAGTTTTTGTTCCAAGCAAAGACCCCAAATTCTGCCTGGGGCAAAGCTTTTCACGTTAATTACCTTAAAACTACACGTTACTAATTGCCCTAATTACTCTCCCGGCTTTGCGACACCGCCCCCGGCGGATCCAATTCCGAGAAGCGCGGCGGGTCCTGGGCACCGCCGGAAGGAGCACCTTGATCTTGCTGCGGCCCCTTCGGAGTCCGTCAGCGCCAACTCCATGCCCCAGGGCTGGCTGGAGCTCTCCACGTAGGGCCCAGGATGGCCTGCTGAGTAAAATAGGAGCATCCCCCTTCCTTTCTCCAACCTGACAGCGCTTCGCCAAAGCGCAAAGCGCCAGTTCGCATAACTGGTGCCGAGTCCTGGGGAGAGCAAGGAGAGCAAAGCTCGATCCCCCACTCGCAGCCCGCACTACAGAAAGCATCCCCATCCCATGGCCCTGTTTTATGTTGTTATAATCACTATCTGAAATTACCGTGTTTATTGTTTTACCTGTTTGTTTCCCCTCCCCTCCTCCCTTGGAAGTTCTGGAGAGCAGAGCCCTGCCTGTCTGCTTCGACATCTCGGGAGCGCAGCAAATCCTCTGCTGCTTTGTCTTAAATAAGTGAATGGGACCAGGGCGCTTCTCTGCTCGGTGCGTGTAGGGACGGCTGGGAGGACCTTACTCTAGGTGAGGTGGAGCCACACTTCCAGAGTACTCTTCCTAAAGAAAAGAGCTTCTAAGGAACTTTTGGGGAGAGTGGCGGGTGTTTCTTTCCTTATCAGAGTTTGGGGAAAGGGACCGAAACTGTGGCACTCTGCCTCTTGCTGAGACCGCTACCTAGTCACTAGCGGTAAAACCATGCTCTCCCTTTCTAACAGAACAGGGGGTCACGTGGTTTGTTGGTACGGCTTGGCGTCAATAGTGCCCCCGGCCGCGTTGGCCAAGACCAGGTATCTCTGCCAGCTGCGCGGTGGCCGCCGCGCGAGTCCTGTGCAAACAGAGCAGCTAGGTCCTCCCGGAGCAGCCCAGCCCGGGCCCCCCCGGGCCGCTCTCCTCATTGGCTGAAGACATCCCCTCAGAATTCTCATTGGCTGGTCCGCTTTTCCCTCCGCCTCCAGAGGCGACCGCGCGCCGCCCGCAGCTGGGGAAGCCGCTCTGAGTCCCGGCTCCGAGCAGAGGCTCAGCGCAGCTCTGCGCCAGGCGCAGGGCACCCGCACGGAGAACTCGCTGAGCGCGCAGTTTTCACTGGCGACAGGGTTCCTACCCCGGGACTCTCTCGTGGAGCTGAGCCGGACAAATGGGCGCATGAAGAAGGAGAGCAGGGGAAATGGACTGCTATTTGCGCCGCCTCAAACAGGAGCTGGTAAGAGCGCAGCTGGCGCCTGGGGCGGGGAGGGCTGCTTCTCTCCGACGGGTACCTGGCCCCCGCCGAGACGGCTAGAGCCGAGACTTGTGAGCTGAAGAGCAAAGTCGGAGACGAGGGGAGAGGACGCTGACCGTCAGGCAGAGGGCAGGGCCCGTCCTTAGAAGGGGACGCGGAGAAAACTTCGAGCAAAGATTTGCGGGGAGATCAGAACAAGTGACAGAGCGAGCGAGCAAGCCAACCAAGCTGAAATGTGACACAGATAACCCGAGGGAGAAAAGAGGGCACACCCAGAGACGGACAGGCACATAGACTGAGGGAGACTCTGGCGCCGCTGATACCCCGGCCTAGGGAATCGGACACTGGTGCCTGGGTGCGGGGGCTGTGCTTAGCGTCCTGGTGCGTGCGAGCCCGGTCTCTGCCCCGGGACAGGAGGTCAGCCGCACCGCTTGCTAGAGGGGAGCTGTTACCGCCCTGAGCCCCCAGCCCTGCCGGGCTTGGCAGAGCTGGCGCGGCTGCGGGGGCAGACTTGGCCGGCTGTCTGCCCGGGCTTGTCTGCCAGCAGGGAGGGGGCTGGCAGCTGTAATGACGGGGGACGGGCCCTGCACGGGAGGAGGGGCGCTGCCTGACAGAATGCGAGCGGGAGCAGCGGAGGCCCAGCCAGATGTCAGGTCTAGGCTTGGGGAGTGTGCAGGGAGCGTGCAGAGGCCCCGAGGTGCAGGGGCTGAGAGAAGTAGCTCAGTCTGGGATTTAAAAAAAATAAAAAAAATCACCAAAGTGAGAGGAGTGGTGTCTGCTAAAGCTATGTTAGGCAAAGCCAGATTGGTTCTCACTGCCTTCATATACCAGCCGCCCCCATCCCTGCCACCTGCCACCTTTCTTATTCCTTCACCCACCAGAATTCAAGCAGACATTATGCTCACTTTGCCCATTTCTCCTTCAACCAGTCTCTGTCTGTGCCCCTTGACGACTCTTTGTCTGTTTTAGTCGGTCTCTCTTGTACTTGACTCTTCTCAGCCTCACTTTCCTCCCCTCCTCTTACTTTTCAGAGGCAGGGGCACCCAGGCACACAACAGCAGTCCTGGATCCAGAAAGTGCCAGGTCATGGCTCTCCAGATTCCATGACGGCCTTTCCTACTCGTGCCTGCAAAGGCTACACTCTTCCTGGGCGAGGGGGAACTTGGCAGTGTGTTAGGGGCCGGCTTGGGGGTAGGGTGGGCGGAGCTTGAAGCTGCAGGTCTGCTCACTGAAGCTTCCTGAGGAAGTTGCCCTGCCACTCTTCCCTGATGTCCTCCTCCAGGGCCTCCCCTCTCAGATCAATGATCATTTCTTTTGTGGGTCTTTTTGTGGTGACACTCCGATGGGAAAGCTACTGACTCAGAGAAATAGATCTTCAGCTAAAGACAGAACTATCCTTTGCTGCTCTTTTGAACTTACATGCCTCTTTCCATACTAGTTTGCACATGCTTCTTATGTCGGTTTGGGATGGCTGGCCCCAGCCCACACATAAATAATTCTCATTTTTCCCATTCATGTGTCCAATACCAAAAAGAAAGGTCAAGGTCATCACAGATAATGTCTGAGGTCCAAGGCCCATGCTGAGAAAAGAATCTAATAGAATCCTCCCCGTTGTGCTTGGAATTGGGGACCACACCACCCACCTCAGGATCTGCCTTAATAGAGGGTTTGTGGGTGTTCCTGGAATGGGCTTGAATTTTAAAATCCTACTGATTTGCATTTTTTGCAGAACTCTAAGTGGGAGGTGGTGAGGGGAGGAAGACACAGTCTGGATGCCAGGAGAATAAAAAAGGCAAATAGGAATCTTCAGTGAGCTTAGCTCCAGGTCTTGATTTGCACCCTCTTCTGCCAAGGACTTGAGCCCCCAGTGCCTGGGAGGAGGAAGGGGAGAGGCTGAAGGCCCCAAGCTCCCCATTAGCTTTCATTTGCCCTTTGTCTGAGCAGCTTCAGCCTTTGACTCTCTTGGAGAGGAAGCCAAATGCCTGGCCTGGGTCCCAGAATGACACTCAGATGGGAGAGTAGTACACCCCCCCTATAGTTCTTCTCCCCTCCCCAGTGCCAGCCTGGTTGGAGATGAGACAGAGCAGAGGGACAGGCAGAGCTAGTTGAATCTCACTCATACCCTGACTCCTTGGCTTGATGCTTAGTTATCTGGGCTAAATCACAGTGCCTCAGTATCCCCAATCATAGCAAAGGGGAAAGTAGAGGAAATTAGCCTGCAGTTAGCCTTCCTCTAAGGACTGCAGGGATTAAATCCAGTGCAGTTTGGTTGTGGCCGAGATAGGAGGTGCTGGCTTGTTTAATACCCCAGGTCTGTAATGGGATAGGAAAGCATACAGTTGGTTTATGTATGACCATTGCAGATGGTTTGTCCAGGCAGGATCTCCCCCCTTGCCACCCGGGAGAACTCTGTGTTGCTTGGCTCTGCCCTAAGTTGATGTATACCCGGGAATGGCCCTCATGTAATACTGGTCAAGTTCTATATTTATTTCACTAAATTCCTTTCAAGAAGCAAACATTCTGCAGACACTGTGGGATAAATCTGCTGGAAAAGGAAACATGAGCAGGTTGTGAAATTCTCTTTGTTGATGGTGTTTTGTGCTCCCCTCCTGCATCTTGGCCCTGTCATTGGTTCAGAAAAATCTAGACCAGAAGAATCTGTTCTGAAAACCAAAAGCAGCAGAATTTCCCAATTCCCTGAAGCAGAAAATGTGCATTATACCAAGTAAGTACCAGGGGAAGGCTGAGAGTGTGGGGATCCTGCCTCCATTAAGTTGATGTCTAGAGAGCTGGCCCTTTCCTCCTGTCTGGAAGGGGAAGTGGATCAGGTTTCAGGGATGAAATGCGGCAGAAGTAGCAGCAGCTGACACACTTCTTCATTAGGATGAGAAGGTCAGGGCTTCAACTACTCAGCAGGGAACACATCTCTTTCCCTCCTTCAGCCACCAAAGAGGGGCCCTGCCAGAACACAAGGCCTTGGGACCAGCTGTTCCTTACACGTGGCTCCCTTGTGGGCTTCCAACAAATGGGGCAGACAAAGGCACACAGAGGAAACAGATGTAAGATGCTCACGGGTCTGTTCCTTATGAGTTCAGATTGGTGCAAAACAAATAGAATACTTAAAGGCTGTGTGATCACGAAGTACAGTGAAGCTGAGAAGGCTTCCTGGAGGAGGGAGGTTGGAGGAGTTCATCTCTGGAAATGTCCATTCTAGCTGAGCCATTCAGGAAGCAGCAGAAGGGTTTCCCTTAGGCTGAGGAAGGTCCTCCTAAGAAAACCTGGGTATTCTCAGAAGGCACAAGTTCAGGAGGTTATGGCATGTGGGTAAGAAAAAGCTTATTTTGCTTAAAGGACAATATGAAGAAAAGTAGGAGATGGAGGAAATACAGAAGGAATAGCCTTTAGCTCTCAGGGCAAAAGGGCACATTACCTGAGGCAGAAAATAGGGTTTTGCAAAGGATCTCATAAGTAATCTTTCTTGTTGTTTAAAGCTGAGAGGAAGAGGGCTTTGGGACTAGACAGTCAATGTGGTCAGTGGGAAGAGTGTGGAACATAGGATTTAGGGTCAGGCCAACTTGAACTCAAATCATGGCTCTAATGTGCCCCTAACATATTACTTAACCTCTCTATGTCTTGGTTTCCTCATCTCTAAAATGGGATTTTTAAATACTTCCTTTATACAGCTACTATGACAATTAAATGACAATAAAGATGCCTCCCAACTGTATGTATGTCCTTTGTGTACAACACAGTGCCTGAAGTGTGTGTTGTAGGCACTTGGTAAACTCTTAATGATGGATTGATTAGACTGTTTTGCATAAGAGTCATTCATTCACAAATACATTTATTGAGTTCATACTATGTTCTTAACACTTACCTGGCACTAGCACTAAACAAAAAATTTAGACACAGATTCTACCTTCAGAAAGCTCACAGTTTAATAGAAGAGATAATAACATTAATCGATATTAGCATTGATATGTCAGACATAAAATGTATTATGCCATTTAATTGCCAAAGCAACATGCAGAAGTTGTACTTTCATTTCAATTTTATGAATGAGAAAATAAAGATAAAGGCAGATTTAAGTGACTTGGCCAAGTCACAGAGGTGCTGAGTGGAGGACCAAAGATTCAAACCAGCCAGCCTCGCTGCAGAGCTTATTCTCTTAACCCAGTGCATGTATGCACACACCTCTAGTATAGAAATAGGGGATTGGTGCTATTAAAGAGGTACAAGTTCAGTGCCCCTGGAAGGGAGAAATAACCGCCAACTGGGAGATCCGGGAAAGCATCATGTCATGGAAGAGGAAGTGTGTGAGCCAGACTTTGAGGGATGAGTAGGAACAGGCATAGGGGAAAAGCAGCATTCCAGGCAGAATGAAACAACATCAGCATGGAGGCTGAAATAGTGAGATGTCTGCAGGCCAACCCATTAGTTTGGCTAGAACATAGGGTCTATGTGCACAGCAGTGGGCAACAGGGCTAAAAAAATTGTTGAGGGCAGACTAAGTGGGGGCCTGGGATGTCATGCTAAAGAGTCTGACCTTGTCTATGTGCATTGGAGAGCACAGGATCAGAGATAACCCCTGGCGTCTAGGAGGTGGTATGGGGTAGAGGTAGAGGGAGGGAGGAAAGTGAGGAGGAGTTAGAAGATTGTTACCAGAGTCCAGGTAAGACATTATAAAGCCCTGAACCAGGAAGGAGAAAAGGAACATAACTTCTCAAGGTCTCTTGGCTACCTAAGGAATTGGGTTGACGCAGTGAACAGGAGCTAAAGCTGGTCAGAGGGAGGAGGGCTTGCTGAGATGAAGAGGCAAGCTCCCGGAGGAAGCAACATTGGGCCTCTCTCTCCATCTGCCTGTTACTTGGGTCTATGACCCCCAATGGATGGTTCCTTTGGGAAAGTGGGCTCATCCATTTCACATCCCACAGTCCGCCTTTCTTTACCCTCCTCCCTCCTACAGCTCTTGGCGTGATTTC